GTAAATAGACATTACTAATTTATAAGGCATTTCTCCCGCCTTTTTAGCGTGCCATCGAGGTGTAGTGGTCTGCACGCTGGGCGCTTATTCCGTGGTTCGATTCCCGGTGAAGGCTTTGCTCATTTTCAAGTCTCTTGCTTCCAAATAACCTAATAGCCCTACATATTATAATAAGGTAGATATCAGCAAATTTATTTAGTAATTATCGCATTCTCCTACATATTCTCGCAATGCTAAATAGTTTTCGACAGTGTTTTGTAGATTAATATCTGAAAAACCTTTTTCAAGCAAGTAAGGTTTCTTTATATAGAAACTGATTCTTGACACAAAGAGTTATGTTTACAAGAACTAGGTTTTACTTTTTGAATTATAACTTGTCTTTCGTATATTCTTCGTCAATTTGCTCTTTTATTTCGAATCAGACTTTTGATAGAGGAAAATAATTCAAGTCTACGTTTTCAGTCCAAAGGGGCTTTGGGGACTATTGTTTCCATTTTGCGATTTTACGTCGAATCACTCTGAATGTCCGTTTCACCTTTCAAACTGTTGCCACCCAATGTTAGAGCCCTGCATTATATTTGAAGAAATTAAATAGTGAAAAATCTGCATAAATGGATGTCTATTTCTCGCATTGTGATAAAACAACGGTACTGTAATACTTCTTTGGCGAAATGAAGCAACTCCAATGATGGAAAACAGCAATAACTTTTATTTAACACTAAAAAAAATGGCGACATACAAACAAGAAAAAAAAAAAAAAAAAAAAACATATTCTAACATTTAAAAATAAATTACATTCTTCGTGCGAGAGTCGCACGTGGCACTCGATCTGGTTTCAAATATTGCCATTCACAAATATCTTAATGTTCATCTATTTAAATTATTTAAACTACAAGATTTTAATAATATGTAAAGCTGTTACAGTACATAGAGCCATCGAATTTTGAATGACGTAATCCTCCTACGAATATGGGCATGTGGAAGCCCAAATTTGAAATTTGGAATTCGTTTTATTATCGATTTTATATTTTGTAAAACTTTAACGAATTTTTGATTAACAAACTCAGCAATTTAAAAGCGAGCAATGGCAACACTCTACGGGCACAAGGGAAAAAAAAAAAAAAAAACTTTTTATCTCTAGCGCGAGGAATTGTGTATCGGAAATTCTAAAGAAAGGGCTGTTGAATTCAATTTTATGGTTTAAACGCGAAGAACATAATATTTTATAAATAAAGGTAACGCCCAAAATGTTAAAAAATGCCACTATAGACGTAATTTAAAATCTGAAACTTTTCAGATATTTTTCCCTTTTTTCAAGTGAAATTAATCAAGTCTTACTATTATTATAAAAAATACATAATCTCACATGTGAAATTAATGAATTTAAAAGGTATTTTCTTCCTCGTTCATGCCTGTATTTGGAGTGCCACTGCATTCGAAAACACTCAGAGCGAATTCAAGAGGTCCAGATTTGGGTCACGACGAGGTATTTTACAGTTTTGACACCTCCTGCTTCAAAATAATTTAAACATTCTACAGCGAAGACCGAACTGAAAGGTGGTGGAGGATAATTCATCACCAGGATGTAACGTCTGGGTCACAAAATGCCCTGTCACTTTTTAAAAGGGTACATAAGGTATTTTCTCCTTTCTTACAGCATGCCTTCGTGGTGTGACAGCATCCCGCACCAAAAGTATATAAATATATATATATATATATACGCTGCTGGCCACCGTAAATGCAACACATTGAAGGAAGCATGGAAATAACGTGAAATTTACAACATGCATTAGCGGAGGTGAGATATGCAAATGATTAAAATTTCCGCGCAGACGGACATTACGTGCGCCTGTGGCGCCACTTCAAAGCACTATTTAAGGCTTGGAGTTTTCGACGATTTCAAGTTCGGCAATTGTGTTTTACTTAAAAAAAAACAAAAAAAAAAAAAAAACGATCAATTATGCCTCGTAGTAAACAGCGATCATCGTTTGATCAAGTATCCCAGTTCAACAGAGGAAGGATAGTGGCCTACCGAGAGTGTGGATTATCTTTTAGGAAAATCGGTACTCGTGTTGGACGAAACCAAACAATTGTAATGCGGATATGGGACCGTTGGATGCAGGAGGTTACGACGGACCGACGTGTTTGATCGCATCCACCTCAGTGCACCACTTCACGTGATGACAGGAACATTGTGCTCATGGCTGGTCTGGAACACTGTGCTCATGACGGGTCGCTCAGTCACATCACGAACCATAGCCCAGCACATTCAGTCTGTAACGCATCATCCAGTGTCTGCGCGTACCATTCGTCGCCGTTTACAGCAGAGTGGTCTATCCGAAAGACGTCCATTGCTTCGTCTACCCTTGACGCAGAACCACAGACGTCTCCGCCGCCAATGGTGCGATGAAAGAACAATGTGATGTGGACGGCAGAATGGAATGAAAGTGTCTTTACTTATGAGTCACGCTTCGATCTGCAACACCACGATGGTCGGATTCGAGTCTGGAGACACCGTGGAGAAAGCATCCTGAACAGCTGAGTTATGTACCGCCACACTGGTCCTGCACCGGGTATTATTGTATGGGGCGGTATTGGATATCACTCTCGCACTCCTCT